ACGCAGCTGGTTACAGAAGCAATAATTTAAACTAACAAAATGAAAAACTACCAACATTGAGGCAGTCAATGTAGGGGTTCCTTTTCCTTTTTCTTTTTCCTCTTTCACTGCCCAATAAGCCATCTTCTGTTTTATTTTCTTGTCCACTCATCCAGTGAAATCAATGGCTTGCAAGTGTTGTTCAGCATGATCACATGATGCATTTCCTGCAATGATTGGCTGTTGGAAACTTATTCCACGAAATTGTTGCAGCTGATTTTCGAATGAATTGCACGAAGCTTTACATTATGCAACTCAAGTGCAATTTAGTTTCATGTAGGTTTGAAGCAATTACAGTTACATAAAATTACATAAAAGTTTCACTGCCAGCCTAAGCTGCAAAAAACTTTAGAATTCCTTGTTTTTGTGATGTCATGAAAACCAACATATTTACATATATCCACCTATTCAGTCTACAGCAGTTCAGCCCCATCCATTCAGACTGAAGTTACAAGGAGTGTTTCATCCTGGGCTGCTTTTTAAATGAGAAGAAATACAGGGCAAGCAATCAGAACAGAGCTCTTTTACATACATCAGTCTTAAAGACACAGACGCACAAGGAGCCTGTGTGAAGAGAGGTCGGAAAATGGTCATAATAAATTAATTGCAACCAGTTTTGGTACATAAAACCACACAAATGTTTTAAGTGGACTGTAAGAGAAAATATAAAAAGAGCAGAAAAACCCTTTAAGCATGTTTTGGAGCTGGAAGTGTTTTTTTTAAGAGAAACGATTGTGTTTTAGGACTTCCAGGGAATGCCTAACTTTTGCAGTCAGTTCCAAGTACATTGTTAATGTAAAAGGAATAGAAATGTGTTCTTAATGAAAAACAGAAAAATCTTGACACCCTTTAAAACAAGAGCCCTATGAAAGCTCCTTACCAGTTTAGTTTCTGTTTCAGTCCTTTAATTCATTTTCACTTCAGCCTTAATTCACTGAGGCATTAAAGTTATACGAAGCCAACCTACAAGTAAGCAATATAACTAGAGCACATTTCCCTGATGTATAGTGAGTTTAGCAATTGATTTTAAAGCTGCTGAAATGAGAATAACAATTTAGCTAGCCTGATCTATATCTTGCCCTTGAGAGAGGAGCTATGACTTACGAATATTGTCTTTAATAGAATCAGCCACAGAGCTCTGCTATTACCGGGTCTATTTTTAGCTTTGCCTTTAGCCAGTAGTTAATGTGTTGCTACGGTTATCAGTCGTGCTCTTTTAATAGAGCAACCCTGAGACCTATTAAACGTAATAGGAATGAAGCATGTAGTGTTACATTAAGACATGTTGTAGCTTATCAAGCATTTTGATTGATAAAAATCACTCAAAGGTTCCTTTCACCACACAGACTGATGTAGCACACAGTGGTTTTTTTAATCTGCTCCCTTTGTCTCACAAGAGAGTCATTTGTGTCTTGGGGTCAGTACAGCCAAAGCACAAAAGGAAGGAAGTGAGAAAAAGAGAAGAAGCAGTTTTCACTCAGCTCGCTGGAAGTGCAACTAGGCAATAAATGGACCTGTTCAGGCCATGGCACACAGACCCAATGTTCCCCAAAGAACACCAACATTCTGATGTCAGCAGTCATCTTTTTAGTCTACTCTTTAGCCCAGAGCACACGACCAAACATTCTCCAAAAAACATTTTGATGTTGGAAGCCAACTTTACTCTTTTTCAGAAGATAAACTGACAAGATTTTTGAGGCCTTTCTCTCTGAGTTCTCTACACAAATGAACAATGAACTATTGACTTTACATTTGTATTATTGCAGCTCTTCATATCTAAGTACCTGATTGTCTAGTAGTGTTGTGAATTGCATAACACCAAAAATCTCAATACAATCTGATACATACAGTCGCATGCAAAAGTTTGGGCACCCCTGGCCAAACTACAAAAAAGGTTTTTTGTTCCTCCACAGGGAACAAACTTTAATATGTATTTTTTCTGCAAATGTTAGTATTAGAGTTTAACATATTGGAAAAAAAATAAAATATAAAATGTGCCACAACTTTTGCAAATTTTATGCTTTATTTCTCCACTTTGTTAAATTCAGCAAATAATCAGGAATTGTGCATCGAAATGTGTGGAACTATGTTATCTATAGAGGATGCGTTGACTTATTCTCACTTTAAAAATCAACAATACATGTAATTTGACCAGGGGTGCCCAAACTTTTGCATATGTAGACCTTTCTGTTGGTGTGTCTGGGTCTGCCTGATAATCTTTATCGTTGGGTACACAGCTTCACTAGTATCCTGTAATATGACGTTTCCTATAATCCCACTGCTGTTGCAACAGGAGAAAGAAGAAAGTGGTACTGTCACAAACAGGAGGAGTGGTGGTGTGGCCAGCGGCTACTAGCCTGGAATATTTTTTTAAATAAATGGGGAAAAATTAAATAAATAAATGAACCAGTGTGAAAGGGAGGAGAATGTGCAAGAGCAGTGTGAATAACATTCTAAAACAGTGGGAATGTTGGAGGACATTCTAAAATAATGTGAATGGAGGAGAACTTTTAAAACTGTGAATGGGGAAAAACGTTCTAGAACAGTATGAATAGGGAGAATGTTCTAGAACAGGGTCAATGGGGTGAACATTATGGAACAGTGTGAAAGGATAAGAACATTCTAAAACTGCGATTGTGGAAGAACTTTCTAAAACATTATGGATTCTACAGCATTCTAAAATTGTATAAATGGGGAAAACAATCTAGAACAGCATGAATGGAAAACATTATAAAAGAGTGTGAATGGGGGAGAACATTCTAGAATGGTGTCAATAGAGGAAAACATTTTGAAACAGCATCAAATAGGGGTGAATGAAGAGAACATATAGATTATCCCAGTGGTTACTCACAGATGTGGCACTCCAACCCAATGTTTGGGTTTCTCAGTGTTTATTGGAGAATGTTTGGTTGATGTGTTCTTGGTCCTTGGAGTCTTGTTCTTCCATTCACACGGTTCTAAGATGTTAATCCCCAGTCACGCTGGTTCATTTGGCTTGTCACTTCTTATTGTGGAAAGGTATAAAGCTGACTACTAATAGCAGAATGTTGATGATTTTGTGGAACGGTTAGGTCATTGTGCCATGACCTTTCCAGTATCAGCATGGACAAGCCAAAGGAACCAGTGTGAAACTCTGTACCATTCAGTCGTCAAATTGTAAAAAAAGGGGTTCATGGTGGGATATTCAAGACTACTTGGTGTGCAAATCTCAAATGTGGATAACAGACATCTTAAGTGATTTCACAAAATAACATTAATCCAAAGGGGATGGAAAGTGGGATGTCAGATTTCCAAGCAGGATAATGTTTTTGAAATGGGGAGGGGGGGTGGTGTAACATCAGCTTGCATCTCCCCTCAAATTAAGCCCTGACACCAACCAACCAAGGTTTGTTTCTTGAAGAACTTTAAGTCAGTGTGCTCTTGACTTTACAGCACCAGAGGCAGCAGGACACACTAGTCCACTCATTATCAAACCTAATGAGGATCCGTGCATCAATAATTCAGCAGGGTGTTCGTTACCAAGTCATCCTCACTGCTGCAGCGGAACGGCCAGACTGCTGGCCTAACGTTAATGCAACTTTTGCCAGTGCAGGTCACCAATTATAATTTTGCCAGGATCCCCTGGAGCCTTCCTCAAAAGTGCCTGTTCCATCTGGTTTTTGTTCTTCAGTTATATATACAAGGCTCAGAACAGCTCTATAGAACCTGCTGGGCCTTTTTGTGACATTTGCCAAGTCTAGGAAAGTTTTTTCACACTGCCTTTCCTCTCTTTATTTTGAGTGGCCATGTTTTTCTTCAAGGTTTTAGGGCAGGACTCTTCAGCTCTGGTGTTCAGCACAGTTTGGTGACATTCCTGACTCAACTCATCTGATAATTATCAGGGTTTGTAGGTTTGTTTGAGCATGGAAATCATTAAACTCTGGTAAACGCTGGATTTATAGTATCATTACTTATATAATATGTTATGTAGGGTAATGAGTAATACAGGCCATAATACAATAAATAGAAACAGGTCTTCTGTATTGTTGTAATTGTGAGAAAACCTCAGAAAGGTTATAGGAGAAGGAAAAACATTTTAACAACTGTAATGCACATTAATGTCATGAGTAATTTTTGACCATTTTTGTTATAATAAACAATAAAATGTTGGTACAATGTGGGTAGCTGCCGTTTCCAAATGGTGTAAAAAAAAACAAAAAAAAACTAAAAACATACAAATGCATCAGAAGCATCCCCTTTGTTTCTTTCAGGGTGATTGAAACAGGAACTCGGACATGCTCAAACAAGGCCAGGCCTGCCATAGTGTACAAAAGGCATGTGCTATTTCAGAAAAGTAAACACTTCCAAGCTATTTCCTTTGAACTTCACACATCATAGGCTGAGCATACAGAACTACACCTGGAGCAATGGCTTTCTCTAATAAGTAAGTTGCTATAAGTGGGTCTATATATCGGTAACTTAGCACCTGAATAAGACCTAGTGCACAAAAGGATGATGTTAGAGACTCAAAAGTTGCACTGCACCATAAGTCCCTGCATGCCTTAGCAAAGTGACTATTTGCCCTTGTATAGAGTTCAGTTGTTTCTATGAAGAACTTAGGTTTGACTGACAAACCAACCATAGCCAATTCACAAGCTTAAATGAATACTCCAGCATTTTTTCAACCTAATATCCCACTGCTGCAGCATTTGGTTGTTTACCATAGACAGTAATTGCAGTGCAGAAAAGATAAAACCAGAAAAGAGCATATAAAAACACACTAGGCAGGTGACTGAGCATCTGCCCATTGGCTTTTGTTATATTTTAAGTCAACCTGTTTTCTGTTTTGTTCTTTTTTGTTTTTTTTCACTCAATTCGTTAAAATTATCAGCTGTTGTAACTACAACATTCAGATCTGGCTGAAAAATGCTGGAGGATTCCTTTACCATTCTTCAGATATCCTCAGAACAACATTTCAGAAATAGTTTTTGAAAAATGCTTTATTAAAAAAAAAAAACATAAAATAAAGATTTTTGAATTGTAAAATGAAACACACAAAAAGATATCAAAGATGAAACACACATGGATCCCGCTGTAGGCTTACAGTTGTGAAACATGGGTTTGAAGCATTCTTCGAGAGAGACCATTCAAGTTTATTAACAGAATTGTGATTTGACTTAAACGTGCAACCTTGCAGTCCATAAGAAAAATATGGGTTATAGTATTACTTTTCTTAAGGTGTTTTCTACTGCACATTCAAAAACCAGAAGTCAGTCAAACAGGTCATTTTATGCCATTATAAAGCATCAAATCTAACTTATTAGCCAACTTACATGAAACAATATAATGCACACACTCACAAATGGGTCTAACTTTACATTGACACATGTAGAATGAAATAAAGCTTCACTTTTTTTCTCTTAAGAGTAGGAACTGATGCATTAGCTACCTTGCTAATCTTTACTTAATGCTAGTTGTGTTGAAATAATAATACAGCATGATTTTTCTGCACTCCCACACTGTCTACAATTACACAGTGTCACGTGTAGAAGGTCATATTTTTTTTTCCCTTGAGAGTGTGAAAACATGAGCAAAAACACTCTTTCTGTGGAGGCTAGCATGAATGCTAATAGTGTTAGATTCCAAACTAGCTCATGCCACCTTTACAAAGTAAAACCATACTATTCCATTCTAGTTCGAATTTTTGGTCATGCAGTTGTACTTGGTGACTTCATCTTCACCTGGAACAGTAAATAATTCGCTAAAATGTTGTTTGTTTTAGCTGCAACTGTTAGCAAACACAAAGGACAGTACCCTCGAGTACCATTAGGTCCTGCTGGTACCAATCTTGAACAGGTACCAAAAACAAACAACTGGAATCTTCGCTACTGGACTCATGGGCAATAGAAAAAAGCAGTTACATTTTTTTGGTGCCAAAAGTTCTGTTACTTAGTACAGTGGAAAGGAATAAAATTTTTTAGTGAAAAAAAAATCTAATTTACATAATTTTGCCCTTATCCTAAATGTAGCCAATCAGCAAAGACATATTTGGTGTTCTTAGTTTGCTTCTTTCATTTTGCACTGGAGCTACAAGACTAACATAATATAAGTATACACACTTAAAAAATGATTTTTCAAGGTTTCTTTAGTCAAGGCAAGGGTTCTGTTTAGAATGAGTTCTATATAGTTCTATATAGAACCATCTGCATGGTTCTCTGCATGGTGAAATGGTTCTTCAGATTGATGGAGAATGTGTTGTATATGGTTCTATATAGAACTCTTTTGAAAATGGTCATTATAAGCTTGACACTGTAACAATAGTAGAACAATTTTTGGTGCTACATACAACCATTTAAAAAAGCACATTATCCATCAATCTGAAGAACCGTTTCACCATGCAAAGAACCATTTAAGCATAAAATGGTTCTATACAGAACTCATAGTTCTAGCAAGAACTACTACCTTTACTAAAGAACACTTGAAGAACCATCTTTTGTAAGTGGGTACGTCACCCAAAACAATTTTGGATTGCAAAGTCTCACCTTACATTGGCTATTTTAGCCTAGTAGATCCAATGGAAAACTAACTAAGACAACAACTTGCCTTTTGGCTGCTGTTTAGGGTAAGGGCAAAACATTATAAATCAGCTTTTTGGGGGGTGGGGGGGGGGGGCTGTGAGCTACTGGGAACAGGCTGTGTTAGTAAACAGGAGAGAGACTCTATAGTTGCTCTTAGTTTCACTTCTAATGCCCATCATTTACAAATGATTTGCAATGCTCACACTGTCCAACTACTTCATATGCCAGTGTTGCTCTTGCAGTGTAATTACACATAGTAGTAGAAGATGAGGCATTAAATTCTGAAAAGAGTGGTGTAAATTCAAGGATTATGGAAAACTGTGCAAAATTAAGTCATAACTGATAGACATTCAGCTTAAGTTAAACTACTGTAGATAGACCTAGTGCCATATGAAATGTTGCGTTTAAACTAACAAACTGCATAAAACAAAGCAATGAAGGTTCTGTCATGCAAAATGAAGCATGAGTCATGGGAAGTGGTGTCTAAAGGTGTCGCAAAATGCAAAACAGGGAAACCACAAGCAGCCCATACCACCCATAAGACAGCATACTGCCTCTGCTGTACAATCATAAAGCAGTGACCAATATAACTATGGTCTAACCTGTGGTCAATAGAACTTTCCTAAGCATGTCATCTCACAGTTGAAAAGTGTTGCACCTGACAACAAGCACAAAGGCCATCAGACTGACAGCAAAGCAAAGAAAATGACCTGTTTATAAAAATGCATTAAAATGCTACTGGCTCATTCTCAGCTGATATTCATAACAGTGCCATTATGTATAAAACCAACTGACAACTACCAACATATAACTATACAATCATTTAAAAAAACAGTGATAAAGCTACAAATCTGTAAATCAGACAATGAAGTGGAAAAAGTGGCAATGTTACATTTAGAAATGTCTGGAAAAGAAAAAAGAAAAAAACAGCAGTCTTTCAGTTCTTTTGAAAATGCTCTACACATACATGGTGGGTAGTTTCTGCTCTGACTCGTTGGACTGGGTTATGTGGGGGGAGGGGGCAGAGGAGGAAGCCCGCTGCTGACCTGGAAGCGAGTCTCATCTGAAATCCCATACTGCTCCAATGGGTCCTATCATAAAGGTAACACCCACAACAAACAAACAAACAAAAAACAACAAAAAAGTGTTAACACAGGTGTAAAACACATCAAGTGGCAATTCAGGTGCTATTTAGAATAAGTAATAGTCGATTCTAATAATATTCAATATGGTGTGCACTCATTTGGCCAAAATAAACTCAATAAACTCAAACAAAAGAAACTCATTTTATGATGGCAGTTACCAGTAAAGCTATGATGACGCGCTTGTGCATGAACGCATGACATTTACAGTGAAAAGCCCAAACTATGAGGAGTCGCTGAGTGACTTATTTTTCAAAGAAGGATGTACATAGTAAAAATATTGTGTTTATAGCAGCAAAAAGACTGTGTTACTGCTGACTCATTTATTTTCTTGATATCTAAGCAGTATGACTTGCTTCTTCTGCTAAAAAGTGATATTCTTCACAAGATTGATAACACAAACGTCATGCAAGAAAAAAGTGACCTGAAAAGAACCAGAAGGAACTAACTTAAGCGTAAAGTTGACTGGCTAAGCAAAAAATCCTGTTTCATGAGACAGAGACTCTTTGGCATAAGGTTTATGACAACCAACCAAGCGCATGAAAGACAAGTTGAGTTTTTTTTTTATAAAGAAGGGAGAAGAAATCACACTACACATATACAACAAAGTAAAGCATTCATAATGGTAAGAAGCAACACTGCCACAGTGTTAGTGCTAAGTGTAGTAATAACTGTTTTATATGATACATAGTTCCATGCAAAAGCTTTAGGCACCTGACAAAATGATATTTTAAGAGCTATGTATCTGGGCAGTTAGCATTTATTTGCTAACATTAATATTCAAATAAATATCAATAATCCAAAAAACCAAATAGAGTCAAGGTTTATTCATATAGTGCTTTTTACAATAGGTGTTGTCACCAAGCAGCTTTACAGAAAATCTGGGTCCAGGTCCAAGTGAGCAAGCCAAGAGCGACAGTGGCGGAGAAAAACTCCCAAAGAGCGAGAGGAAGAAACCTTGAGAGGAACCAAGACCAAAAGGGGAACCCATCCTCCTCTGGTCGACACTGGTCAGCGATTACAATAAATAGTAATTTTATGTTTCTCATGGTTGGACTTAGACGTTTTGTTGATGTTTATCCTTCACTTGACGGAGGAAGGAATGCTTAGAGACAACGTGTTTTGGCTAAGAGGCGTGTCAACTGTTATTGTGCAAACGGTCATGTGTTCAGGTCAGAGATTAACACCCCTAGTTAATGGTCATCAGTAGTTGAAAATTAAAAACATGGGGATCAGTTGTTGTACAGTGTATAATGATGCACTGTGCTGCTTTTTTGGGATCAATTTAATTTCTAGTGGGTTAAGGAACTTTGTGCTTACCTTGCCAGTGAGTCGATGGATCTCAGAACGATAGAAGATGAGGTTCTTACGCATGAACTCATAGCTGTGAAAAAAGATGAGTCAAATGGGAACTGGCATATGACAACTGGGACAAATATGGTTGATAAGCATGCAAAATTCTACAGACCTAGCCTTAATGATGGCATCTATCCACTCAAGGCACTGCTCCTGAGAGTCACATTCAAACAGGTATTTTCTCTCAGCCTCATCTAGAAAAGCTGACAGCAGAGTGTACATGTAAATGCAGTGAACAGTTTAATATTTATCTTGGTAATGCGTCAGAATGATAAAGGCTTGTTTACTTAGTTTGAAAGAGGAAGTACAGAATCAGTCCTTAACACACTCGAGGGCACAGAAGCAGTGTGGCATGCAAGGCATTTATTTTAATAAATAAAAGGGGAATTCCACTGATCTATCTAAATTTCTGCATAATTTTACAGACTTGGAAAGAGACCTTTAGAGACCTGGATCCTGAGAAATGTTTGCCTCTCAAACCAACCTTCCACTGTGTGTGGGAGCAAAATACATGTGCCCTTTTCCAGGCAGGTTCACTATAGCTCCAGTTGTTTTAAACTTCATAATTATTACAGGGTCCTTACAGTGGATATAGGCATTTTCAAGTATGTAGCTATTTTTATAGCCATTGCCCGATTTATGAAAATGAACACAATTTTGTCTCATTTTATTTGCATGTTCACTGATTTTCCTCATGTTGATGAATGATTAAGGAAATTTGGCTTCTCTATCACCCCATATTTATACTCTAGTTTAACAGAATGTCTTGATGATCGCTTTTTAATTGAAGTAAATTTAGTCTAAAAAATAATATATATATATATCAAAGGTGCCAAAAATTTTGGAGCTGACTGTACAAAAACAGAAGACATGCGAAGGTTCACTGATCATTTTATATAGTAAATAAAATGGCTATATATGTAGACATTGTGACCCCTGCTTCCTATCACCACCATTGTAAAGAAATCTGAGTTGATGAGTTTCTCTACAATGAACAACATTAGGCTACTCTGAATTACTTTCTTTACACCTCATCGACTGTTTTGAGTTTTTAGCAAACCAGTGGAATTCCCCTTTAACATTTGTCCTACCGGACATAAACAATTGTTCTTCTGTGTGATGCTGCTGGCTGGTCATGAGACTCACCAATGGAGAAGGCCATATCATCTTCTCTCTCAACTCGACACTGTTCTAGCAGTAAAGCCCCAATCGGCTGTGAATGTACACAACATGTCTGCTGTTATATAACTACTCAACTAATTCACATCATACTAAAGCTGCATATGCCTGCTTCGTGTTAATTTTAGCCAAATACTACATACACAAATCAAAATGTAATAAGAACAAGCCATTTTTCCATCGTTTTAGAAGTTATATTAAAGTTTAGATTGAGTTTATTTCTTCTCAAAAACAGAAAAGCTGTTAAAACCATCAGATTTGAAAAAAAATCTTACAAAAAAAACTAGTAATACTGTGGAAATTTCTACAGGCTGCTTCTATCAATCTTATAGCGAATTCAGACATTTGCTATAGTTTACTACAGGATGATACACAAATATAGATTAATAAAAGACGTTACTACGGGAATATTGTAGGAAGTGAACGCATTATATGTCATATAATCATTACACAGCACTATAGAAATTATATAGTTTCTTATTGCGTTAATATATATCTTTATAATGGCAGACACCGCCTTTTTGAACAACTGTACCCTCTGGCATATGACACTATGATTCTTATGTGCATGCATTGTATGTCTGCTTTATTCTTTTCTTTAAAACGGTTTCAGGGAGAAAGATATTCCCACCTCCTCCTCATCTGTGCGAAAATAAAACAGGAAATTCACTATAAGCTTCACAAGTCGCCTCTTCATGACTGTTGGAAGAAGAAAGTGACAGGGTGGTTGGAAGAAAGTAACAAGGGGACACGTTGCCTCAGTCAAAACAAAGCAGACTTATATAACGCGCTTAAAACAATCATGTGCCCCTCAGTGATAAATAATGTTTTTTGAGCGAACGATGATGGATGTTACCGATGTCTTACCGTCGCCTTTCTTGGGTCCCCTCATCCCCAACTCCGCCGCCCTCTCAGAGGGCTGTCGACTCAGGAAGATGAGCTCTTTTTCATTAAAACGCATTTTGGAATAATACTTCTGGATACAGTCTAGTTGGCTGACTTGGTGGCTAATAAGGTTACCATTCTGAATATACTAATGATGCGATGACTCAGTCGGCTGATGGATGGTTCACCTTGGCCGCCTGGTCCAGTTCATTAACCTAGCTATATTTTTTTATCAGCCAGCTAAAAGTCACCACTGATCCGACCATCACCCATGTCCACAGGACGACAGCTGATGCTATGTTACATTCCGGTCACTCTGCTCTCACTTCTGATCTGTTTTTCTCCACTCTGACTGACTAAAAACGCAACTAACAAGAGACAAACTGAGATCCTTCTGCTTCGCTGTTAATGCCCTGTTCTCGAGAATCGTACAAGCACTGTGAAGGAAGAGATCCAGAAGGCATCCAGAACGAATATCTTTTCAAAATAAAAGCCAAATGTGGCCACATAGTGAGTGAGTGAGTGTGTGTGTGTGTGTGTGTGTGTGTGTGTGTGTGTGTGTGTGTGTGTGCGCGCGCGCGGCACTTATTCCCCTATAAACACGATTTTGTATTATTTTATATTTTTTCAACGCAAGATGAAAAAGCTGTGCTGAGATCAACCATTTGTTTATGATTTTATGATCTAGATTACAATTATTATATATTTTAGAAACAAAGTATTATAATTATTAGAAAGTATTGGTTTTAAATCAGCAAATGTGTAATTTAATAAACTTGTGGGTTAAATACAATTCAGTAAATAATATATAACATTGCTGCAGGGTACAGAAGAAGTTAAATAATTTTCAAAGAAAATGTAACTTTTCCACAGGTGTTAAAGAATCATAAAACAAAAATACATATTTAAGAAACAAAATAACGTTTGATGGGGATTTATTATTTTGTAAAACTACACTTTTGTACCACACGTTTGTACCAAACTAACAGGAAAAGGAAAAACGTACTTTGTCTTTAGCGCATGCGCAGTGCGGCGGTTGCGGCGGTACGCGTGAGCAGGACGTTGAGGTAGCTAACTAAAAACAAAAGGGCTTTTATAATATATTTAACATTTTATGCATTATTTGTAATACTGTGTCTATCTCGCATTTTGAAAAAAGCGATTGAAAAGATTTGAGTAAACATTCGATTGAACATAAACGGAATCCGGCCGCTCAGTTTGAATGGGAAGGTTTAGCCGCGTTAGCCGGTTAGCTAGCTGAAGAAACAACAACTACCAGTTAGTGGTTTATCAGAGGTGCATAGAGTAGCGTAAACTTATTCAAGTAAAGGTGAAAGTACGCTTCCAAAATAATTGGATACAAGAGCAGGTAGAAAAAAGTAGAGAGTTCTCTGAAAAACTGCAGCAGAACGTCTTAGTAACTACATTGAGTGTCTCTTAGCGTAGAAACTGAACACTGGTAGGCTCTGTTCTCGTCTTATTGGGTTCTTATGATGTAGAATAAAATACAAAAGCTCCAGAAATAGAGGTGGGAGCAGCAAAGCAGTCAAAGTAGTCCAGGCGCTGAACCAACACAACAAAATACAGTTATGCTCAAATGGAATTAGGAACTCATTTGTAATGCCTGAAATGTTAACTGAGTAAACAGTAAGCTCCTTTTGCTCGTTAGTAGTATTATCATACTCATGTGGCTGAGTAAATATAACTAGTTTTACTCACTTCTACGCTTTCCTTGCACATTATAGATATTCTGTATTAAATTAACATTGTTTTTTTCATCTTAGAGTAACTTGCTGCACTGTGTTTGTACTTGCTTTAATCTGTTTTCCCCCATTCATGTTTGTTTTTTGTGGTGAATCAGGTCAGCTCATTTGGACCTTCAGGAAGAGTGAGAGTCCTGAGCCTGCGGCACTGAGCTCTCTGCTTTGTAAAAGATGGATTTCCAGCACAGAGCCGGTGGTAAAACCGGCAGCGGCGGGGTGGCCTCTGCCTCAGAGAGCAACCGAGACCGCCGAGAACGTTTACGTCAGCTGGCTTTGGAAACAATAGACATAAACAAGGATCCGTATTTCATGAAAAACCATTTGGGCTCATATGAATGCAAACTGTGTCTCACACTTCACAATAACGAGGTAAGCTAGAAACATTAGTAGGACTGAACAATTATGGCATTATTAGCAGAACTAATAATGTAGATGGAATGCAGGCTTGTGTTGTGGGTTAATTTGCATTTGTTCATGTCTTCTTTTTAACTGTAGTCTCTAATCTGTATTCACCTGATTGTTTCATTATTCAGGGAAGCTACCTTGCTCACACACAGGGAAAGAAGCACCAGACTAATTTGTGAGTATAACACATTAGATGTATGAAAAGGTTTGCAGCCTTGGGGACCATAGCCTATTTTAAAGTTTCTCAACTATACATTTTCTCTCATTCTCTTCTTATTTTCCCCAATCAGAGCAAGACGAGCTGCCAAAGAGGCAAAAGAGGCGCCTGCCCAACCAGCCCCTGAGAAAGTAAAGGTAGAAGTGAAGAAATTTGTAAAGATTGGACGACCGGGTTACAAAGGTAAAAGCCCCGTGTGTTGTAAATCAGGGGTTCTAGCCCTGGAGCACCACTGCTCTGAAAATTTTCTGAAACGACTGAGATAAATAATGAATAACTAACAAGCCCTTGGGTCTGTTGGAGTAGTGAAAACATTACGACATGCAGGGCAGTGGTACTCTAGGACCAGGACTGAACACCACTGCTGTTAAACAGGAGCAGATTTTTGAAAACATTCTGCATAATTCAGTCAGGGAGATGTAAACAGAGACATTCAGGGTGCTTCCGTGGTGCATTGTGGAGAATCAGATTTCTTTACAGTGGAGGTGGTGATAGGAAATAGGGGTCACAATATCTACAGCACAATACAGACATTTTACTTACTATCCAAAATGACCAGCGGACCTACGCGTCGTCTTAGCTTTGAGTTTTCTGTGACATTTGTAATGTTGATAATGGTCAAAAGGTGGTGAATTAAAAAAAAAATGTTTGTCACAGTTTTGCCTTAGAATGCCCTTCATGTACCTCTCTGCCATGAACAGATTAAAAGAAAATATGCTTTAGGTTATAACCTTATCGCAAAACTATCTAATGTTTCTTGCATCAGGAAGTGGATTCGTAAACCATTTCCTGTAATACTGTTCTCTGAGATGGCTTTTAAATGCGTAAAACACTTTAAATGGTTCTGGGTCTTATCACCACCACTTTTAACAGTTCTGAGTTGGCAGGTTTCTCTAGAATTTCTCATCAAATCAAGAAACTCTTAACCAATTGTTTTTAATAATGCAGAATTTTTTGCAGTCAACAGAATTCCCTTATAATGGTTCAATGTAGTGTGTCTTTAAAATCAACAGAAATCAGAAATTACAATAGACTTAGTAAGTAAAATGTGGTATCCTGGACTATCTCTGTTCTTGGTGATTGTGTGGGTAGGGAAAGTATGACAATATTCTTTAATATGTTTGTTCCCCGCCCACTGGTGCACAGTAACGTATTCAAAAATTTGAAGATGTTTTAGAGGTGGTTAGAAGTTATTACGCTTCCAAGGTTTTAGGAAAACAAGAATTTGGTCTTTTAAACGATATAATATGTTAGATCTTGCTTTAGGTAAGCATAGACATGAACTAACAATGTAAAAAGGTCAGTTTTAATTTCTGGTTGACTTCAATGATTTCACTGATGTCATTATGTTTTCATTGACAGTAACAAAACAGAGGGACCCAGAAACTGGTCAACAAAGTCTGCTTTTCCAGGTAACATAATTACTACTAAGTCTTCCCTAAATAATAAAGAAGCTGGAAACAAAGCAAAACAATTATTTGACACTGACGTAACAAACTGTCTGTTTCTCAGATTGACTACCCTGAGATTGCAGAGGGTATTGGACCCAGACATCGCTTTATGTCTGCATATGAGCAGCGTATTGAGCCACCTGACCGTCGTTGGCAGTATCTGCTCTTGGCAGCAGAGCCCTATGAAACTATTGCATTTAAGGTATTGTTTCAGTCAGTTTTATTTATTATCATGAGGATTTTTTTCTTTGTTTTTTGTTTTTTTAAATGTGCAAAATGAATAGTGTGCGTCTTTAAATGAATTTGAAGTGTCCTTAGACTGACTTCTTATGCTTATGCTTTATTTATACTTTAGAAACTAACTGTTTTTTCCCTTCATGCGCTTAGGTTCCGAGCAGAGAGATAGACAAATCAGAAAGCCGCTTCTGGACGCACTGGAACAGGGAAACAAAACAAGTAAGAGCCTGAAGGGGATTTGATTTCCTGCTGAGGATTACACTGGCTGCTTTCCCACTGTTCTGCTATGTGCAAAGATTATAAGAGTCTTTCTGCATGCTTAGCGTTCTGTTACTGTGTAAAAGTCTTAAGCCCAGCCAAGTAAATTGTTTAAACGTATTTCCCTTGATAAAGTGTTTGTCCATGTGAAACTGCCATTTAACAAATTAAATTAGAAGAAATTGTAATAGAATTAATACAGTAAAACTTGGTTTGTTCTCAAAATTTCAAAAAGTTTTTACTATGCTGTGAGCTGGTTAGAGCACAGATTTGCTTCATTGTTTCCTCAGCTTCAGCCACTGCTTGGATTTATCCAAGCCCACTTGATTTTACTTAATGAACGATTGATTAGCCCAATCAGAGGCTTCACAAAGCAGGATTTATTGCGTTTTCAGCTGATTTTAAACTTAGTTTGATCTAACCCTAGATTTTCTGTCTCAATGGTGGATCATTTGCTTGCCCTTTATTGTAAAACCAACCATACCATGCTCTTATGGATATTAATTAAATTGACACAATCTCAGGTTCAGCTCAGCTTTTTTAAAACTTAAGTGCTTGCCAGATGAACCTAATTGCCATTTTGTTCCAGGCAGTCTGTAAAGCGTTTCACAGCCCATCTTGTTTGCTGTTTGTTTTATTTTTGAGTATTTTGTTAGTTTCTGAAAAGCTTACTTAGGGACGACAGGTTCAGAATTCAGTGTAGTCCTGCTATCATACTCTTATTCAGAATCTGACCAAACAGACTGCAGGTCAAATATTATCTAATAGAAATGATCTATGCATGTTTTTGTATAAGGTAAAGTAAAAGGAACTTACTAACAGTTAGTTACAGACCATGCATTACTAAGCAACTGGTGCTTAGTGGAATGACAGTTGTTGTGAAACAACCAATCTCTTATTTGAGATAAAGCACGGTTGTTTCGCAGTGCTTCTCAAATTGTCTTGTCGTATCTAGCTGTTGTATAATTGCTTTCTATTCTAATTCTAATTGTGGTGTTTCATGAGCAGCTGCCTAGATAAATAGCATTAACTAAGTTTTATTACGTCTGAGACTTTTGCACACTTCTGGACATTAATTGATTGTTTTTCTTCCCTAGTTTTTTCTGCAGTTCCACTTCAAGATGGAAAAGCTTCTGCAGCAGCCCAGTGGACCAGCACCTCCTGCTGGCATCAAACGTCCTCCTCCTCTGATGACTGGCCTTGGACCCCGACCGCCTAGCGAAGCAGTGCCTCCCCCACCTCCTGGAGGCATCCCAGGCATGCCTCCCCTGCCTCCTAACGCCCCTGCACCTCCTCAGATGGCCCATGCTCCTGGCATGCCTCCTCCTGGCACACTGCCACCTCACCTGAGACCACCAATGCCTGCAGAAGGAGGAATGCCTCCTCCAAACAACTGAGCATGAAGCTTTGGAGATCGTCTTTACAATGGATTTGTTATGGTTTTGATCGACGGTCTGTGAATGCAATTTTCTATAACAGTTTAATTTTTTGTAAATAACAACCGGAGGTCCATATACATCAGGATGTTGGTTATTTTTGTAATGTTTTGTGACTATATTCCTATAAGGAGTTTAGCCTAGCACCACAAATCTGCTTCAAATCCATTTGGAACACAGTTTGAGCCTATATACAACTAATTCATACATTTGGTATGATATACAGCTGGAATAATCGGTTTGGTCAAACCATTCCTTTAGTTTAAAGGAATACTTCAGGAATACTTGCTTCGGAACTTGTAGGGAGGCTTCTGTTGTAACTGTTTTGAGTGAACAGGTGTCCGTTCTTTTACTAAGTTAAGGGGATTACTTTTTTCTGTGGTAATCAATCGTGCTACAGGTGTGGCAGTTAGAGCCATGTTTAACACTGGAGTATTCCTTTAAGCTTGCTTGTCAATCTGTGAGTCTAGCACCCCCATCAGTCCAGAGTAGTTGTTTTATTTTCAATAAATGTCACGTCTGTAGTGAGGCTACCACAGCCACCTTACCATAACATCAACTTTTTTTATTATTAAAATCTCAGAAACGAGTGGTTCTTGTTATTTAAAGCGTTTTTGTCTGTAAGCATATCAGTTTTGGAATGACTGTCTTTTTAGGGAGGTAGTCTGTTCATTTAAGTTGATGTGTGTTGAGCTTGGAGATGATGGGTAGTAAATAATTTTGAACACTTAGCTTGAATACACTGGCTTTCATGTTCCTAATCCTTCCGTGGACATAACTAATGACTACAATAAGCTACCATGGTAACATTAAAATTGGTTTCAGCAAGGGACTGATGACAGTAATCATTGTTTCATACCATACAATTGTCTGCTAATATCAGATGTAGTAGCCCGCATGATTTTAATAATTAATCTAGTGAGACTAATATCTGCATATTACCCCTGGATATTTTTTTCCCTCTGCTCCTTGAACAGTGTTGCAAATTCAAAAGGGGACTTTTTGAAATTAAGCAAGATAATTTGGGGATGGGTTTGTGGGATGGTTGATGAAAAAAAGTACATAGCTGAGTTGCAAAAGAGCTGTCAGATATCTCTTATTAGATAACTACTAATCACAGTTAAGACACTAATTTCATAAATGGTTTGTTGTAGCAAGTAATGGCAAAAAGAAAGAACTAGAAATCATTACTGTACTATGAAATTTTGTTGATCATTAAGTTATTAATCATCCATCCATTTTCTTCATATTTATCATGATTGGGGTTTTTGCTAAAGTATTTATAGCAAAACACAGTTCAGACTTAGGAATTTTAGTGACACAATGGAAAGGAAAGAAATACCATTGTAACTGCCAACAAACTGAATCACTGTACTGAATATGTATGATATAATTCCTGGAATTGCTGTATGCAACCTTGAGCTTCCTGCATTGTTCCCCTACTTGTCAGACCAAATTTGCACCTTTGCCCTTCAACACAAGTAACTAACATTTAACAGTGTAACTTTTTCTTTTTTTAAGGGTTTTGTCATATTTCCATTATGTCAAAAAAAAAAAAACATCTAAAGAGCAAAACTAGTGGAAAGATCAATAATTCCTAAAATATGCTAATATACATTTTGTATGATTCTGAACAGGTTTATTCTCCAAACTCAACTCTCCTTTGCATGTAATTTTTTCATAAGACCAAGTCATGTCAGTTTTGGTCATCTGAAGACCAGCAAGGTAAATAAAGGTAAAGAACGCCACCTGATCACCATTGTCTAGCACACAATCACATCAAGAAACAACAAAATAACTTACTAAGGCACCGGCACAGTCACAACTTAGATGGTGTTCAGAGTTTAACACGAGTTTAAGCCTGAATTAAATGTAGTTTATTATTTTAACTCGGAAGCTGCTGTTCAAAGCGCACTTGTGATTTAGACTAAACCTTACTGCTGTCATTTAGATATCACACATCTACCTCTAGATGTCACTCTGAGGTTCAGCTAACATGGTTTTGTTGACGTTATGGCTAGACAGTTGTAATTGATGCATGCCTTTAGCTCATATACTGAAGAGCTTTAACGAGACTAAAGGAAATTTTGACTAATTTTGAATCATTTCCATTGCTATGCTGTTTTTTTTCCCCCTGAAACCTGCAAACATAGTGCAAGATACACTATTTTAAAAAGTCTAGAAACCTGCTCACCCAGTGTTTCTTCTGAAATTAAGGGTATTAAAAGGGAGTTTGGTCCCTCTTTTGCTGCAGTAACAGCCTTTACTCTTCCAGGAAGGCTTCACACTAGATGTTGGAACATTGCTGTGAGGATTTGATTGCATTCAGCCACAACAACATTGGTGAGATCAGGTACTGATGTTGGATGACCAGTTCTGGATCATAAATGCTACTCTAACTCATCCCAAATATACTGGATGGAGCTCCACTGCTCCCTAGTCCAGTGCTGGGGGTCTTTACACCCCTCTAGCCTGGCATGGCTGCTGCTGCGGACACTTTTGCTGCTGGATACTTTTGGACATATGGTGTGGATATAGGCCTACATATTGATTATATAAATATTCAGCTAAATAAATACTTAAACCTTGCCTTAAACTTCAGCAAAACAGTGTCTCTTGCAGGCTCAAGGTAACCCTCAGATACAGCGACATCTAGTGGCAGATGTGTGGTCTCTAAATTACACAGCCATTAAGTTTAGTTTGAACAGTAGGTGTGCTTTAAATCACTGCCTCGTGACTCACTCAGGCTTAAAACTAATGTTTAACTCTAAACCTCAGCTAAGCTAATGACCATGCAGATGCTCCATTTAGGCCTGCAACTCAAGCTTCCCTGCGTTCTGGGGAACACTTTCGCAGCACCTGTTGTAGACATCACTTTGTAATAAGAGGACCGTTCCCCCTACTAATTTCCAGGGTTTGTCTGGTACTCCAGCATACCCCTATAAGCCCTCTCATACAGAACACTTTGCCTTTTGTGACTTTCTTCACTCTTTCTTGGTATCTTTTTTCTTGCTCTCCTTTGTCTTCTTCTTCTGTTTCTTCTCTTCCTCCTTTTTCTCTTCTCCTTGCTCTTCTTTCTTCAGCTTCTTCGCTTTGAGTCTCTTCTCCTTCACTGTTTGTGCTTTCACTCTCTCTTTTGTCTCTTCTTCGTTCTGTCTGGCCTTTCCCCTACGTGCTTTAAATGTATCCTGTCTTCCCTTCAGCAGGTTTCTGTTTGGCATGGCTTTGTGTCTGAGGCCCCTAGAAGCTCTCTCTTGAGTCGCCTTCCTTGATCTGCCCCGTCTGCCTTCCTCTTCTTCATCATTATCATCACTGACCCACCAGAAAAACGTGTCCCACAGAGAGGTCTCAGGCTTGAAGAAAAGATAAAGATACGATCACCACACAAATTGTGTCTACAGATCTGTATCTACACTGTGGGGTTTAAAACCAAATTATTCAGTTTTCCCCTCACCTCAGATCAGCCAAGACACATTTGGTGTCTGCAGTTTGCTTCTTTAGTTTTGGGCTGAAGCTACAGGGCAAATGTAGCTAACAAGTAATGGAAGCTTATGAACACATATAAGCACTGTCAAAAATGGACAAAGCCTAGACAATTTAGGCTTCAAGATAGTTGAAACATTAAATATTCAAATTTAATGTAAGACAAAGAGAACCCAAGTAAATACAAAATGTAGATTTAAAATAATAATTTCATTTACTGAAGGAGAAAGATAATCAGTGCCAACTGGCCCTGTGTGCCCCCTTAGTTGTGGCATAAAGCTAACACAGGATTGCACAACAAGAGCATCTTACCAAAAGTCAAACATGGTAGTGGTAGTATGATGGTATGGGGATACGTTGATGCTTTAAGGCCTCATTGACTGTAATTGATGGAACCATGAATTCTGCTCCCAATCAGAAGTAAGTATTGTAGTAGCTTAGTCAAGGTCCAGACTTGAACCTCATTGTGAAGCTGTGGCACAACCTTAAACTTTAAACAGGTGGTTCATACTCAAAAGGCCTCCAATGTGGTTCACAGCAATATGAAGGAAGCATTTGGTTGCAGTTGTTGCTGCTGAATGTGGCACAACCAGTTAAGTTTAGGGGGCAATAACTTTTTCACATGGGTTATCATGGCCCTGTAGCTCCAGTACAAAACTAAGGAGGATTTTTTTGCTAGACTCTAACTTTAATGGAGCATCCCAACACCTTTGTATAATTTCGACTAAGACTATGCTTAATTTTTGTCTAAAAACACTTTTGTATTCGTGTATTTTTATTTGTGTAATTCAGCTATGAGACCTGGCAAGCTTATTTTGTGGGCAAGTAAACATGCAGGCGGCTATCCTGACCTGAGGTATTGGTAACCGCCCTTTCTTGACCAGGGTGTGTCTCATGTTGAGTGCAGTTCCTATGCCATCAACATCAGTCCCATCCTTGCTGCCTCGTACAACCTCTGAGGGAAAAAGAAGACTTGGTCACTAATGGTACCCAGAGTTCTGTGGAGTGATGCCATAGAACAACCACTTCTGGTTTCCTAAAGAACCTTCCAAAGAATGGTTCCTTAAATAACTATTTTAATAAATGATATGTGCAAGAGTAAATGTAAAGGTAATGTTACATGTGATGCAAAGGTTCTATAACTATTAATTTTTTTTCTAGGTCTGTATGTTCAAGCCAATAACCCTTTAGGAATCTTTACTTTTAAGAGTGCAGCAATTTGATCATTTACTCAAACAGGGAAAGGGTGTCCAGCTCTGGTCCTTGAGGGTCACAGTCTAGCACAGTTTGGGAATGTTCCTGCTCAAACACACCAACTAACTAACTGATGAGTTGAATCAGGTGTCTGAACAGGAAAATCACCAAACCATGCTGGACCAAGACCTGCAAGACTGGAGCTGGACACCCCGGCACAGCAAACGCACTCACCATTCAGTTTTTGGCAGCCTGAGGTAAGGACCAGTATGGTGATAGCTATGAAGAGGCAGCGGTTTAGTGTCACTCCCTCCCATGGTACCTCAATCTGGGCCAAGTTCTGAAGAGACAAGGTCTTGCGTAGTGGTGCTGTGAATGAGAGGTGATGAGAGAAAGTATTACCAAAACCTAGAAAAATGGCAGATGCTTATGGTAATGGACTGGTGGCAGCAGAGATGTGGGAAGGCATTTTAAATGCTCAACGAACAATACAAAAGGAAGCATGTAGCCAGAGCAACATCTGTTGTAAAAGTTTCTACTTCTATAACTAAAAGCTCATACAGAGAAGCTGCAATAGTCTCTAGATTGAGATTTTCTGATGTAAAGCCAAGAAAAACACCATTCCGATGATGTATTTTGAAGGTAGGAGGAACATCTGAAAACTACAACTGGTTTTGGGGGCAGGCTGTGTTTTTGTTAGCTGGTAAATGAAAGAGAGCTAATGGTACTACTAGGAACCTGAATATTTCATTGCGGCCTTATAACTGTAGTAACTGTCTGCAAATCACTATCACAATGGAGAAAACCGAGACTCAAATGACAGAAATAAATTGTCAGATGAGGAGGTCAAGCAGGATTGATTCCCAGCTAGCTAAATCTGGGGGTCACTTTGCTCTCTCTTCTTGGGGCCAATGGTGGAGTGTTGTTGGGATCCAAACTGCTGGAAACAAGACTACTGCTGATCCTCATTCATTTGGGCTGTAATTCTCTTTTGCAACATAAAATATTTTAGGTGATTTGTGCAGGCTACAACTACAGACTGCATGAGTTGAATAGTGCATGATTGTGTCAACCACAAATAACAACAGCAAATGTGATAGGCTAATGTAGATTTCCTACCTGACAACTAGCACACATAGATTTATACTACACTCAAAATGCTTTATTTTAATGTTATTTTATTGATTGTTGCAGTTCCTTGATGGCACTTGCTAAGAAAGAATGATTGCGATTAGAAGCACACAATCAGTAACAGAAGGAACATCTTGACCAGTAATACCTAAAATTGCATGAACGCTAGTGGGTATCTGTTGACAGTTCTCGTTTACATCATGCTAAATAGCCCGTAACTAGCATTCATGCATTAGTAATAACAGTATAGCATTGTTGGGTGAAAACCTACTGGTTCTTGAGACGGGGGGCTCGCGGGGTACAGCTTTTGGCATCTGCTGAATGATTGGAGGTTCCTGTGGCAAGCAGATCATTTGATACATTCAAAATAACACTAATGGACTCCATTGCCATTGCATTTCAAATACTCAAGAAGGACATGGAGCTGTAATTGTCATTAGTTGTCCAGTAGTTGTCCATGAAGATGGCTTGGTGTTTATAGGGAATGCTGTGCAGTCAGTTGAATAGATATGTCCCTGCTGCTGTTTCTCATTACATTGCTATTCCTGTGCAATGCAAACCTTAATCATTGTGGCATCCAAACTCACCTCTCTGACCCTTCTTTGAGTGTACATCTCTGGAAAACAAGATATGGTAGTTTACAGTGTGTATATAGAACAGAGACATTGTACTCTGTATACATGTACATACAGTGACAGCAATACAGATAGAGAGGGGGCTGAGTTTAAAGCTAATGTTTGTCATGCTAGCTGAAGCTAGTGTTTGTCATGCTAGCTGGTGTCATGTTGCTATTGCTCTGTAACTATGCTTCAGTATGTGGCCAATGTCGGTCATGGCCAGTCTGGTATATAATTAGACACACAGGTGCTTTCAGGTCTTGAAATATCACTGCTGCTTCCTTCAATATATTTTAGCCAATAGCCAACTTTGTTCCTCTTTTATTCCTAGAGACCATGACTTCAGCTTCCTTCTGAAAAAGCTGGATATAAGATTGCTCAAGAATGGGGTTGAGATTGTTTTGTACCTGTCCGGCGAGCTTGTCTGAGAGGTTTTTGTGGATGAACATCCTGCAGTGGTGTTCCGAGCTCTTCTTCAAATGTCTCAAATGTGCTCTCATCCATCACCCTGACAAGACAATTACCTACAATTAGCATTTAATGTTATCTGTTATGCAATGCAGTTTTCTGTAGTTTGGTTTGACAAAATTCACAATTGTGTATCCTTTTTGTGTTTTTGTTTATCATTGTAAACTACAATACCCAGCATGCATTACATAAATACATGTTACAACCACTCAGGACAATAAAGAAATCCTGGCTGCTAGCATAGCCACTGATATGGAGGCTAATAAATGCAGAAGTGCTTTTATTTATGCAGAAACTTCTTTCAGCATTAGCCAGCTAGCAAGAAAAAACAAAAAACAAAAATCACACTTTAAACAGCCCACCCTCAAGTATCCACCTTGTAGTCCTTCAAAAGTTCCTCTCATCTTCAAGATATAAATGGGTGTTTTAGCCCTTAAACTGGAAAATCTCATTCTAGAAACCATTGTAGCACCACTGTAGTTTATAACAGATATAGTAATGATTAAAATTTTGTCCGAAGTGCCCCTATCACATTGACATAAACATCAAGAGATGTCCTACACAAAACCTTTTAACTGACTCTTTAGTAAATCATACCACTATTTATCATCTGTTATAATCATCAGCATTATTTTTAATTCCATATCATTCACACACCTGTAGATATAATGGTCCCAATTTGTGTAATCAAAAACATGCTTTGTCATTACAACTTCCATTAAGAAATGCAGAACACTGAAACCATTAGAACATTTCACACAGTGACGCAATGGCAAGAGAATTCAGGAAAATGTCAAGCAACATCTGATGCAATGCTAACACAATACTCCATGCTATTGTTTTTACAGATTAGCTTGAATGTCTCTCGGTCTGCCTTTGACCCAAATGTTCATCAGAAACCAATTCATAATAGAAAATGACTTACGTTCTCATATCAAGGCATCAAAGTTGTCAGTTGTTACATGTTGCGATCAACACGTGAACAAATCACACGTTACAGTCCGAAAATAGCACCATTCAACCTACGGTCAGACTGAAAGAAGCCCACAGACATCCAGATGCAACACTGAGGGGGCCAAGCACTTTTTCCTGTTTCACCCCAAATAATGACTTTTGACCTTCCAATAGTGAGACTTACCTGCCTGGACATGAGGAGGGGTCACAACAGAGGAACCGTCACCCAGAACTCTGATGCTGTGGTCCTTGGGTAAAACAAACACATACACAGGCATGCACCACAGGCTATCATCTGACAGCTATGAACAGGTGCAGTGGGATGAAAAAGCCCAAAGCCTAAAGGGTCAGGCTATTGCAGGAGGCTGCTAATGCGCACCACACAGCTCAGCTGAAAAAGTATGATGCCATGGCCAGATAGGCCACAATAAGTAGCTGATGTCAGCAGCAATGCCAATAAATGGAAGTAAATAACATAAGCAGGTCCCATATTTATCTAACAGGTTCGGGTTGGAATCTGACAGTAAAAAAAGAACAATTCTCATTTAATATAGTTAGATTTGCTTGTGCTTTTCTGTCACTTCATTCTCATTTATTATAGGAAGGTTTACTTGTGCTTTTCTGTCACTTCATCTGAAATAACAATAAAGTTGCAGTTCCAAAATTCAAGATGGTCTGCCAAAAATTGAATGTACACTATTTTACTCTTTCTAATAGGCCTCTGAAGTTTTCATTCTGCAGTTGGCATCATGCTCATATTAAGAATTCTGGGTCTTAGAATGGAGCCTTTAAAAATCACCAGTCACACCTTGTAGTAAATAAAAATGTTCTAGAGCATACATTTTGCTGTACGTACATTTTCCCTCCGAATGTCACAGGATTCCTTTGAATTACAAAGTCATTTAGGAGCCAAAATATGAATGCAAACTAATACTGCTGCACACTGAATTGACAAAGCAATCTCAAAACATTACCCCAGGCAGAAAATTTAAGTTGATTTCACAGTAGTAGCCTATATATATATGTATATGTATATATATGTATATATATATATATATATATATATATATATATATATATATATAAAATGTGTGTTTTATTTAGGCTTCTGAATTATTGTAATAATGCTGGCGATGCTTCAAAGGTGATAATTGCCATGTTGGGAAAGTGATCAAACAGAAATAGAAGACTTATTTAATATTAAACAGTTTGCTATATAACATTAAATATTAAAAGTTGTAAAATTATGAAAACATAATACTTCATTATTTCCCAAAGGCATCTAAAGCGCACTTTGTTTACTAATATGTAAAGAACTCCCATCTAGCAGTCTGAACGCACAAGTCGCTTCAGAAAAAAACAGTCATAAATTTCAAATTCCCATTACAAATATATTAAATTAGTTCATAAAAAGCATGTCAGCTAAAGCCTGTATTGACTCTCAGTAACATATCAGCAACATATCAATGATGAAGCAGCATTGAATACATTCAGTAGAAAATCAAGAGACTTTTGCTTAACTGCATAAATAAAATTTGTTTATCATCTGATGAATTCAGTTGTTTTTCACTTTATTTGGAGTGTCTACTTCATGTACAATAAAACCAATACATCTACTTAATGTAAATAATGTATCAACAGTACATCTTCAAGATATTTACCTCAGTGTTTTCATATGCTGCATTACTGCCACTTCACTAATATGTTGTTGATGTGTTACTGATACTCTGGTAAGAGTTTATTAATCATCTACAAAGGACCACTCCATATGACGTGTTACCAACTTTAGACACTAAACATGTCTTTGGTAAGGTTGAAAATTGTGTACATTTGATTTTGGCCTTAACCATTGAGACATAAACTTATAACTGTGTTTCCAGTTCATGTATTCACCAGCAAAATTAATTGTACAGGTGTTCAAAACTTCAGTGCCCTTAATTACCACTAGAGGGCACAACCATGCTACAACTGTAAATTATAGCTGGCTATGGCACAGATCTGTCTTAGTGGGCAAGCAGTGAAAATGTAGAGAGAAAGGATGTGAATACCCAGTGGTCTATTCAGTTTAGCCTTTAACTGCAAATGTGATTTTATTGTGGTGGATGTCTCTGGAAACAAAACCATGTAAGCAATGAATCATGGCTACATCGCTCTGGGTCACAAATCGGATATTAATGTTAACTATTCCCTGTTGAAACGAAGATAGTACTACTTCTCTTTCCCATGGCAGTTCTTGCATCATAACCCATATATATACAAAAAAACAAAAACAAACTAGAAAGCAGTGTCTACCCTTCATGCATGATTTCTTTGATATACGACGGCTGGGAAGGTGAGAGTAGCCGACAGCGCAGCCTAGCCTATTTGGCCTGAGAGCTTTCAGCTGTCTGTTCTTATAAAATGAGCCCTGGGGGATGAGAGCCAGGTTTTCTTTTTTCTTTTTTTATATTTGGAGGCAGGGGTTCAGAGGTGGACATGTCTAAGTGAATTCAGTGACCTTTGCTGTTGCACTTTGTTCTATTGTCAATGGCCTGGTTGTACAGTCTGGCAGTGTGAAATCATTTTAAAAAACTACTGCTTTCAAGTCAGAAATGTTTCATTTTTTATATATTTTATTATGTGTAGTTATTGTGGGAAGATAGAAACATATGGCCTTGACTGTTTTGAGTTCAAATGCTGCAATTTAGCCATCATTTTAAACCTGTGTTCAAGATACGAAATGGGAAAAAACAAGAATACCTCTGTGAAAATGTGTATTGTTAGCAACACGTTAGCCACTAGCTAGATAGCAATGATAATAGGAGTGACAACATTCTTTATGTATTTACCTTGTAAAAATAGCAAACTTTACGGTCAGTGTTATAAATTTAAGCAACTGCTGTGTCTGTATGCTGATTGATCTAAAGCAAATGCTACTATAATCACATTTAAAAGTAATGAACTCACTTTGACCTCAGAGGACAACTTCCTGACTTTCTGAGAATTTTCAGTCGAGGGGGGCGGGGGGTGTTTTCTTTGGTTTTTCCCAGTCAGAGGTTGGGAATTCTGAGGTACTTCATGCTGCTTCAGTTAAACGCAGCATGAGTTAAAGCTAAAAACAAGACTATTCTGTACATCAGTGAAAAGTATTAGTAGCTACTTGTGGCTAGCAGATGCTTCATTTTAAAGTGGTTATGCATAGCAAAGGATTTTTGTTATATTTCAGCATAGTCTTACACAAATTGACAGTTTAAAATAACATTTTGGATTCTCCTAAATTGCATTTTTTGTTTATTTAAATGTGGGCATGTTATAACCATAAATATAACACAATATGTGCCATATATGGCCTTATGTACTAATTTTATTTGCGGCTATTGTTGGATTATACCACACGGTCTTGACTCTTTTGAAAAACTGGAATTTGTACAGTTTGCTGAGGCCTCTGTTACAAAGTCCTTGATTGTCTAATCCAGGCCAAAGAGGCATCAGAGGACAAGAGATTATTCTCTACTGATGCCAAAGCTGCAGGTGACCTGAAACCTGCCCAAGTATGATGCAGAGTCTTAGGACTACATGTCTCTGCTGTCTGTGAGAGCCCAGCATCAGCTGTGAAAGTGGGCTAATGTAGCCTTGGGCATCCCCATGCTCTACATACCCAGCACCAGTGAAGCATCAACAGGACTTCTGAGCTTAGCATTGTCCCTCTTCAGTAGCCAGTATGAAGAATGAAGGTCTACTCTGTTCGTCATAAAGGGCAAAGGATGGGAACTGCGTAGGGGAGGAAGACCTTGCCTGAGGACAGGATGCTGTAACTGGCTGTAAAAGTTTCAGTGGCAAGGTCAAGAAAATAGTGTGTAGACAGAGGCGTAGTCTATGCTTCCACTTTCCAAAAACAGAGTTTTGCTATTGCTGGACTGCTTGCCAGAGGCAGAAAAGGTCAAAGCCCCTTTAGAATCTTGATATGCCATAACAGCCTTTCCCTCTCTACTGCAGCATTGGAAAAAATTTCTGAGTGAGACGCTCACGTATGCCTTCTTGCATTATGGTCCATTACAGATCTTACAGAGTTCAAGTTAAAGTCAGCTAAAATAACACCATGTTAAATAACCCATGAACGTAACAGTACTAAGTTATAAGTATTGAAGTGTTTTTATTGCTGTGTTTTAACTTTCGCTAACAGTGATCTGGTCAGCTAGTCACAGTATTCCCACTACATCTCCTGCTGAAGAGAAAGAATTCTGATGGTTTAACAGGTGTTCTGGGACTCATTTCAGATGCATATGATGGTTTCCTAATGGGATCTAAAGGTGTCCTACAGGAAAATAGCGGTCTCTAATAGTAACCATTAAGCCAATTCCTGTTTGAAAAGCAAAACCATCAGGTTTTAGTCCTAATGGTTCCTATGGTCTTTTTTTCAGCAGGGTCAGCTATACTGAAGTAGCTGACTTGTTGCATAGTTTTCCATAGTTAAAGTAAAACAATGAGAGTGTACATTGATGAAGAAGACTTTATTAGCTTGCTGCTAGTGGCTGGTGACAGACACGTCATTTTGCAGTATTGCAGTGCAGCCTTACACAACTTGCAGTTGAGAGTGGAACTGCTCACAAAGTATTTCTAGATAAAGTAAGTTTGGCTTTGTGCTTAGCAGAAAATGCTTTTCTGGGCATCTTTCTGAAGATCAAGCACTTTATCTAACTAATCAACAGTTACCCACAGCAATAACTACTGGAAATATTAGTCAACTAATCATGTTGCCTGTAGAGTTACACAGAATTCTTGTATTAGCCAGAATATAATCTGTGCAATATTGCAAGTATCGTGTTCACAGTGAGAATGAAGTGGAATGTGTACTGTAATGGTAAATCCATGTGTACTATTAACACCAGGATGGTGTACTAGAACTGCCGTAAAATTAAGTGTAAAACGTAGCACACAGTGTGCACTTAGTGGCCGCAGACCGATGTATGTAGTGAAAGGTGAGCCATCAGAAATTTTGTTTGTGTTCTGGATGCTGGTATGCTGCTCTGCAGCAGTGAAAGCTGTTGTGATGATCACTACCAAAACCAGCATATGTTGTGTGTTGAATGCTTGTATGCTGTACGGAGACCATCAGACTTGGGTGCTAACAGAATACGTGTAATGGTGCTATGTAA